GTCACCTAGCCTTAATGACAGAGTCCACTGGCTCACCTAGCCTTAATGACAGAGTCCACTGGGTCACCTAGCCTTAATGACAGAGTCCACTGGGTCACCTAGCCTCAATAACAGAGTCCACTGGGTCACCTAGCCTCAATGACAGAGTCCACTGGGTCACCTAGCCTCAATGACAGAGTCCATTTTTTTTTCTGCTCATTAACGTCATACAGTCTGTTCTTAAGACTTTTCTGGTGCATGGACAATTCTTGGTGTATATTCTTGTTCGTGAGGATCAGCTTTTGTTTGTTGAAAAAAGACTTCAGTCTTTCAAATTCTTGTACAATTGGTGTCGCAAACACAAAGTACAAACAATTATTGTGGTCTAACAGCATTTCCTTTAACAATCTTACTTTTTATTATGTGTCAAACGTTGCCTGTGCTAATTCAGCACATGTGAAATAAGCTTTCAATTCTTCACAGTTCACCATCATATTGAACATAATCTTTCCTCGCACAAGCCACCTAGGAGATGACAGTTTCTCGAATGGAAGAGGAACAGTTCGTTTTGATTCAAACTCCGTAGATGTGTTCATCCATCTAAACAGTTCTTTATAGGCTTCTCATCTTAAATCACTATGACGAAACCACTGAGGTATTTCTGACAGAAGAAACCAATATTTGCTGGCAGCTTGGCAATGGCACTACAAATGCAGAGTGCTAGTGAATGGCAGATACATCTGAGCTGTACACAAAAAGGAGACATCTTTAATTCTGGACCATACAGAGTTCTTGCACCCGACCATGTTTGAATCGTCATCTGAAGCAAACCCAATGCAATTTGTAAGACTCTGACCACACCTTTTGAATTCCTTATCAATCAAATTAAATAAGTTTTCTCCTGTAGCCACTTGCAAGGAAATTAAAGCAAGAAATCCGGTAAATATTTCATTTTTCCTGTCACTGAAAAAACTAACTATAATGCACAAGTACTTTTGAGTGGAAACGTCAGTAGACTCATCTATAATGATGGAATATTTCTTGTTCCAAAAATCATCAATACGGTCAGCCTTAAGTGCAGGCGATATAATATTTCTTATTAAGCATAAAAAATTAGTTCTGTGCAACTGTATGTGCTCCAATGTACTCCCCTGATCACGCGCTCTCATTATTTCACTTAGATGATCAATCGTGCGTATTGCACAATGGCAGGTCATGACTACAGCAAGTTGCAACTCTGCTGCTTTAACTTTATCATTACTTTGCCTAGGAGTTATTGTTGTAATACGCTGTGACTGGCTTTTTGACGGAGTTTTCATCCTGTGTTTTTCGGATTTTTTATGATTTGAAATGCTACTAATTCTTGGTGCAACAGTATACTGTCACAGTTTGCAATATGCTGCCTCTGATCCGTCTGAAGATCTTTTGAGCCATGAGTACGTTTTCTCCAAATTACTATTATACTTGCGATTGCTGTCATAAGATGCTTTCCATTTTTTTTTTTTTTTTTTTTTTTTGGTGGATCAGGTGGCCATTGGTAAAAGTAATAAAATCTATCACAGATAGAACTAGGTCTATATCCTATCTATTTTCTGTCCTCAAGTAGTTTCTGAACAGTCTGAATCACTTGGTACCAGTGGTCGGTTTTCGTTTTATATCTCGCATTTATTCTAGTACATTTATTCTAGTAACATAAATTACAGAGGTATATAGCAGTCACGGTCCGTTTTAGGAAGACAATAAAACAATAAGAAATGGCGCGAATCTCCGTTAGTCCGTAGCGGGACATCACAACAAAGTCAAACTGAAATAAAGATGTTAACTGTAGGTCTACATTGCTTTTAGTAAATTTGCGTGTTTTTAACAGAGGAACCATGAAGAAAATATGAGTACATCTTGATAAGAAATGCCAGGAAAAACCCAAATATGCCAGAATATGCCAGTTCATTATCTTATGCCAGTTCAATTTAAAATATGCCAGATTTGTGGAATCTGGCATAAAAAAATGTCAATATGGCAACCCTGCCCAGGTAAGGTTAACCCTGAGGTCTTCGGTTCCAACGAGAGTTGTCTCAACAGTATTATATGCCCCTGGAAAAACCTGTTTGATAGATTCCCTAAGACATAACCAGTAATAGGAATATGTTTTTGTGTGATTGCAACGTCACAGAAACTTGTTAAAAACTGAAACACAGTTTCAAAACGTCACCGGCTGGATTTAGTGCGTAAAAAAGGGGTGTGGGAGGGAGATGAGCTTTATATGGACCCAGCCTTAAATAGATACAACCTATAATAGCATGCCAAGTAAAAACGAGCGGTGTGATGTAAACACCACCCCAGTGTTGACTGGGCCAACATATGGTCGAAGAGTTGGGGCCCCGCGTGTGATGTAGACTAAAACCCACCCAGTGTTGACTGGGCCAACATATGGTCGACCGGTGTGATGTAGACTAGAACCCACCCAGTGTTGACTGGGCCAACATATGGTCGACCGGTGTCTGTTCTCCACAGTCTAGTGTCTGTTCTCCACAGTCCGATGTCTGTTCTCCACAGTCCGATGTCTGTTCTCCACAGTCCGATGTCTGTTCTCCACAGTCCGATGTCTGTTCTCCACAGTCCGATGTCTGTTCTCCACAGTCCGATGTCTGTTCTCCACAGTCCGATGTCTGTTCTCCACAGTCCGATGTCTGTTCTCCCACAGTCCGATGTCTGTTCTCACAGTCCGATGTTCTGTTCCCACAGTCATCGATGTCTGTTCTCCACAGTCCGATTCGATGTTCACAGTCGCTGTCTCTCACAGTCCGATGTCTGTTCTCCACAGTCCGATGTCTGTTCTCCACAGTCCGTGTCTGTTCTCCACAGTCCGATGTCTGTTTTCCATCACAGTCCGACGTCTGTTCTCCATTTCTACAGTCCGATGTCTGTTCTCCACAGTCCGATGTCTGTTCTCCACAGTCCGATGTCTGTTCTCCACAGTCCGATGTCTGTTCTCCACAGTCCGATGTCTGTTCTCCACAGTCCGATGTCTGTTCTCCACAGTCCGATGTCTGTTCTCCACAGTCCGATGTCTGTTCTCCAACAGTCGCGATGTCTGTTCTCCACAAGTCCGATGTTGTTCTCCACAGTCCGATGTCTGTTCTCCACAGTCCGATGTCTTGTTCTCCAACAGTCCGATGTCTGTTCTTCCACAGTCCGATGTCTGTTCTCCACAGTCACGATGTCTGTTCTCCACAGTCCGATGTCTGTTCTCCACAGTCCCGATGTCTGTTCCTCCACAGTCCGATGTCTGTTCTCCACAGTCCCGATGTTCTGTTCTCCACAGTCCGATGTCTGTTCTCCACAGTCCGATGTCTGTTCTCCACAGTTCCGATGTCTGTTCTCCACAGTCGCGATGTTCTGTTCTCCGGGCACAGTCCGATGTCTATTCTCCACAGTCCGATGTCTATTCTCCACAGTCCGATGTCTATTCTCCACAGTCCGATGTCTATTCTCCACAGTCCGATGTCTATTCTCCACAGTCCGATGTCTATTCTCCACAGTCCGATGTCTATTCTCCACAGTCCGAGTGTCTGGGATCCCATCAGTCCGATGTCTGTTCTCCACTTGCCGATGTCTATTCTCCACAGTCCGACGTCTATTCTCCACAGTCCGATGGTCTATTCTCCACAGTCCGATGTCTATTCTCCACAGTCGCGATGTCTATTCTCCCTACAAGTCCGATGTCTATTCTTCTCCACAGTCCGATGTCTATTCTCCACAGTGTCCGATGTCTATTCTCCAACAGATCGATGTCTATTCTCCACAGTCCTGATGTCTATTCTCCTCTCACAGTCCGATGTCTATTCTCCACCGTCACCTGTTCTCCACAGACCGTGTATATTCTCCACAGTCCGCGATGTCTATTCTCCACCTAGTCCGATGTCTATTCGCCCACAGTCTGATGTCTATTTCTCCACAGTTTCCGATGTCTATTCTCCACAGTCACCGATGTCTATTCTCCGACAGTCCGATGTCTATTCGCCACATGCTCCGATGTCTAGTTCTCCACAGTCGATGTCTATTCTCCACAGTCCGATGTCTATTCTCCACAGTCCGAATGGTCTATTCTCCACAGTCCCGATGTCTATTCTCCACAGTCCGATGTGTCTATTCTCCAACATTCCGTATTCTCTTTCTCCACAGTCCGATTTGTCTATTCGCCACAGTCCGATGGTATATTCTCCACAGTCCGATGTCTATTCTCCACAGTCCGATGTCTATTCGCCACAGTCACGATGTCTATTTCCCCCAGTCCGATGTCTATTCTCCACAGTCCCCGATGTCTATTCTCCACAGTCCGATGTCTATTCTCCCACAGATCCGATGTCTATTCTCCACAGTCCTATGTCTTATTCTCCACAGTCCATGATGTCTATTCTCCAATCCGCATGTCTATTCTCCACAGTCCGATGTCTATTCTCCACAGTCCGATGTCTATTCTCCACAGTCCGATGTCTATTCTCCACAGTCCGAATGTCTATTCTCCACAGTCCAGATGTCTATTCTCCACTCCATCCAATGTCTATTCTCCACAGTCCGATGTCTATTCTCCACAGATCCGAATGTCTATTCTCCACAGTCCGATGTCAATTCTCCCACGAGTCTAGCTGTCGATTCTCCACAGTCCATGTCTATTCTCCACAGTCCAATGTCTATTCTCCACAGTCCAATGTCTATTCTCCACAGTCCAATGTCTATTCTCCACAGTCCAATGTCTATTCTCCACAGTCCAATGTCTATTCTCCACAGTCCAATGTCTATTCTCCACAGTCCAATGTCTATTCTCCACAGTCCAATGTCTATTCTCATTCACAATTCTCACAGTCCAATGTCTATTCTCCACAGTCCAATGTCTATTCTCCACAGTCCAATGTCTATTCTCCCACAGTCCAATGTCTATTCTCCACAGTCCAAGTGTCTATTCTCCACAGTCCAATGTCTATTCTCCACAGTCCCAATGTCTCTTCTCCACAGTCCAATGTCTATTCTCCCACAGTCCAATGTCTATTCTCCACAGTCCAATGTCTATTCCTCCACATCGCAATGTCTATTCTCCACAGTCCAATGTCTATTCTCCACAGTCCATGTCTATGTCTATCTCTCCACAGTCCAATGTCTATTTCTCCACAGTCCATGTCTATTCTCCACAGTCCAATGTCTATTCTCCACAGTCCAATGTCTATTCTCACAGTCCCAATGTCTATTTCTCCACAGTCCCAATGTCTATTCTCCACAGTCCAATGTCTATTCTCCACAGTCCAATGTCTATTCTCCACCAGTCCCATGTCTATTCTCCACAAGTCCCAAGGTCTATTCTCCACAGGTCCAATGTCTATTCTCCACAGTCCAATGTCTATTCCTCCACAGTCCAATGGTCTCCACAGTCCATGTCTCATTCTCCACAGTCCAATGTCTATTCTCCACAGTCCATGTCTATTCTCCACAGTCCAAGGTCTATTCTCCACAGTCCAATGTCTATTCTCCACAGTCCAAAGTCGATATCCATTTCCAATCACCACCGTCCATTCTCCAACCGTCCATTCTCCACCGTCCATTCTCCACCGTCCCTTCTCACACCGTCCATTCTCCACCGTCCATTCTCCACCGTCCATTCTCCACCGTCCATTCTCCAACCGTCCATTCTCCACCGTCCATTCTCCAACCGTCCATTCTCTCACCGTCCATTCTCCACCGTCCATTCTCCACCGTCCATTCGCCACCCGTCCATTTTCCTCCACCGTACATTCTCCACCGTCCATTCTCCACCGTCCATTCTCCACCGTCCATTCTCCACCGTTCCCATTCTCCTCCGGTCCATTCTCCACCGTCCATTCTCCACCGTCCATTCTCCACCGTCCATTCTCCACCGTCATTCTCCACCGTCCATTCTCCACCGTCCATTCTCCACCGTCCATTCTCCACCGTCCATTCTCCACCGTCCATTCTCCACCGTCCATTCTCCACCGTCCATTCTCCACCGTCCATTCTCCCCACCGTCCATGTCTCCACCGTCCATTCTCCACCGTCCATTCTCCCACCGTCCATTCTCCACCGTCCATTCTCCACCGCCGTCCATTCTCCACCGTCCATTCTCCACCCGTCCATTCCTCCACCGTCCATTTCTCCACCGTCCATTCTCCACCGTCCATTCTCCACCGTCCCATTCTCCACCGTCCATTCTCCACCGTCCATTCTCCACCGTCCATTCTCCAACCGTCCATTCTCCACCGTCCATTCTCCACCGTCCATTCTTCTCCACCGTCCATTCTCCACCGTCCATTCTCCACCGTCCATTCTCCACCGTCCATTCTCCACCGTCCATTCTCCACCGTCCATTCTCCCTTCCGTCCATTCTCCACCGTCCATTCTCCACCGTCCCATTCTCCACCGTCCATTCTCCACCGTCCATTCTCCACCGTCCAGTCTCCACCGTCCATTCTCCACCGTCCATCTCCACAGTCGTCCATTCTCCACCGTCCATTCTCCACCGTCCATTCTCCACCGTCCATTCTCCACCGTCCATTCTCCACCGTCCATTCTCCACCGTCCATTCTCCACCGTCCATTCTCCACCGTCCATTCTCCACCGTCCATTCTCCACCGTCCATTCTCCACCGTCCATTCTCCACCGTCCATTCTCCACCGTCCATTCTCCACCGTCCATTCTCCACCGTCCATTCTCTCCACCGTCCATTCTCCACCGTCCATTCTCCACCGTCCATTCTCCACCGTCCATTCATCCACAGTCCCATTCTCCACCGTCCATTCTCCACCGTCCATGTCTCCACCGTCCCTTCTCCACCGTCCATTCTCCACCGTCCATTCTCCACCGTCCATTCTCCACCGTCCATTCTCCACCGTCCATTCTCCACCGGTCCATTCTCCCCACCGTCCATTCTCCACCGTCCATTCTCCACCGTCCATTCTCCACCCGTCCATTCTCCACCGTCCATTCTCACCGTCCATCTCCACCGTCCATTCTCCACCGTCCATTCTCCACCGTTCCATTCTCCACCGTCCATTCTCCACCGTCCCCGTTCTCCACCGTCCATTCTCCACCGTCCATTCTCCACCGTCCATTCTCCACCGTCCATTCTCCACCGTCCATTCTCCACCGTCCATTCTCCACCGTCCATTCTCCACCGTCCATTCTCCACCGTCCATTCTCCACCGTCCATTCTCCACAGTCCATTCTCCACAGTCCCATTCTCCACAGTCCCTTCTCCACAGTCCATTCTCCCACAGTCCATTCTCCACAGTCCATTCTCCACGTCATTCTCCACAGTCCATTCTCCACAGTCCATTCTCCACAGTCCATTCTCCACAGTCCATTCTCCACAGCTCCATTATCCACAGTCCATTCTCCACAGTCCATTTCTCACAGACCAGTCCATTCTCCACAGTCCATTCTCCACAGTCCATTCTCCACAGTCCATTCTCCACAGTCCATTCTCCACAGTCCATTCTCCACAGTCCATTCTCCACAGTCCATTCTCCACAGTCCATTCTCCACAGTCCATTCTCCACAGGTCCATTCTCCACAGTCCATTCTCCACAGTCCATTCTCCACAGTCCATTCTCCACAGTCCATTCTCCACAGTCCATTCTCCACAGTCCATTCTCCACAGTCCATTCTCCACAGTCCCATTCTCCACAGTCCATTCTCCACAGTCCATTCTCCACAGTCCTATTCTCCACAGTCCATTCTCCACAGTCCATTCTCCACAGTCCATTCTCCACAGTCCATTCTCCACAGTCCATTCTCCACAGTCCATTCTCCACAGTCCATTCTCCACAGTCCATTCTCCACAGTCCATTCTCCACAGTCCATTCTCCACAGTCCATTCTCCACAGTCCGGTGTCCACAGTCCGGTGTCCACAGTCCGGTGTCCACAGTCCGGTGTCCACAGTCCGGTGTCCACAGTCCGGTGTCCACAGTCCGGTGTCCACAGTCCGGTGTCCACAGTCCGGTGTCCACAGTTCCGGTGTCCACAGTCCGGTGTCCACCGGGTCCGGTCCCGGTGTCCACAGTCCGGTGTCCACAGTCCGGTGTCCACAGTCCGGTGTCCACAGTCCCGGTGTCCACAGTCCGGTGTCCACAGTCCCGGTGTCCACAGTCCGGTGGTCCACAGTCCGTGTCCACAGTCCGGTGTCCACAGTCCGGTTCCAACAGTCCGGTGTCCACAGTCCGGTGTCCACAGTCCGGTGGTCCACAGTCCGGTGTCCACAGTCGGTGTCCAACAGTCCGGTGTCCACAGTCCGGGTGTCCACAGTCCGGTGTCCACAGTCCGGTGTCCCACAGTCCGGTGTCCACAGTCCGGTGTCCACAGTCGGTGTCCACAGTCCGGTGTCCACAGTCCGTGTCCACAGTCAGGGTGTCCACAGTCCGGTGTCACACAGTCCACGGTGTCCACAGTCCGGTGTCCACAGTCCGGTGTCCACAGTCCGGTGTCCACAGTCCGGTGTCCACAGTCCGGTGTCCACAGTCCGGTGTCCACAGTCCGGTGTCCACAGTCCGGTGTCCACAGTCCGGTGTCCACAGTCCGGTGTCCACAGTCCGGTGTCCACAGTCCGGTGTCCACAGTCCGGTGTCCACAGTCCTGTGTCCACAGTCCGACGTGTCCACAGTCCGGTGTCCACAGTCCGGTGTCCACAGTCCGGTGTCCACAGTCCGGTTGTCCACAGTCCGGTGTCCACAGTCCGTGTGTCCACAGTCACAGGTGTCCACAGTCCGCGTGTCCACAGTCCGGTGTCCACAGTCCGGTGTCCACAGTTCCGGTGTCCACAGTCTGTTGTCCACAGTCGGGTGTCCACAGTCCGGTGTCCACAGTCCGGTGTCCACAGTCCGGTGTCCACAGTCCGGTGTCCACAGTCCGGTGTCCACAGTCCGGTGTCCACAGTCCGGTGTCCACAGTCCGGTGTCCACAGTCCGGTGTCCACAGTCCGGTGTCCACAGTCCGGTGTCCACAGTCCGGTGTCCACAGTCTGGTGTCCACAGTCTGGTGTCCACAGTCTGGTGTCCACAGTCTGGTGTCCACAGTCTGGTGTCCACAGTCTGGTGTCCACAGTCTGGTGTCCACAGTCTGGTGTCCACAGTCTGGTGTCCACAGTCTGGTGTCCACAGTCTGTTGTCCACAGTCTGTTGTCCACAGTCTGTTGTCCACAGTCTGTTGTCCACAGTCTGTTGTCCACAGTCTGTTGTCCACAGTCTGTTGTCCACAGTCTGTTGTCCACAGTCTGTTGTCCACAGTCTGTTGTCCACAGTCTGTTGTCCACAGTCTGTTGTCCACAGTCTGTTGTCCACAGTCTGTTGTCCACAGTCTGTGTCCACAGTCCACTGGTGTCCACAGTCTGTGTCCACAGTCTGGTGTCCACAGTCTGGTGTCCACAGTCTGGTGTCCACAGTCTGGTGTCCACAGTCTGGTGTCCACAGTCTGGTGTCCACAGTCTGGTGTCCACAGTCTGGTGTCCACAGTCTGGTGTCCACAGTCTGGTGTCCACAGTCTGGTGTCCACAGTCTGATGTCTGTTCTCCACAGTCTGATGTCTGTTCTCCACAGTCTGATGTCTGTTCTCCACAGTCTGATGTCTGTTCTCCACAGTCTGATGTATGTTCTCCACAGTCTGATGTCTGTTCTCCACAGTCTGATGTCTGTTCTCCACAGTCTGATGTCTGTTCTCCACAGTCTGATGTCTGTTCTCCACAGTCTGATGTCTGTTCTCCAGTCTGATGTATGTTCTCCACAGTCTGATGTCTGTTCTCCTCCGTCTGATGTCTGTTCTCCTGTCTGATGTCTGTTCTCTGCTATCTGATAACTGTTCTCCATATAAAGAACAAACATAGTCAGCCGTCAGTATAAAGTCAGTGCATCTAGAAACCCTTGACTTCCCAGGATAGTTCCTGTTGTAGATTCAAGGCTGGGTCGATCTGACGGACAAGACCACTTAACAACTAGCTGTACCTGGCCATGCGTTGCTGTGGCCCAGAATGGTGAACTGGAAAAGAAAGAAAATAGAAAGCGCGCGTGTCTAATATGGTTAATATCAGTCATTACACAGATACAGAGATAGTCTGTATCTAGAACACGAAACATATAGGTGAATGTCTAATATTAGTGGTCGATTAAAGTGCATTGCTTGAGTTTAAAAAAAGATTATTTGTTTATCGCAGGCTATAGCATCCTTTTTGCTTAAACAGCTTAATGTAAAGCTGACTACTATACCTCCAAATGACCAACAAACATGCAAAAAATGAAAATGGGAATAGCCGAGGAAGCGGTGTTTATAAAAACATATTTAAGAAATTAGAAGTTAAAAATAAAGTTTTAAGCTCTCTCAGCTAACAGTGTCTGTCGTCATTACCCTCCCCCTCCCCCACCCACCAATCATATCTCCCTCTCCGAAGGATTGAAAATCATCACCTGGAGAAATTGGTGTCAGAGGCCAGTTCGGCTATGGGACGGACAACTCTGATTATAGTGAATCATCACGTATGAACGAGTTGACCTTCAGTAAAACTCAGTATAAGAGCGGGCAGCTTGACCACGGAATAAACTGGGTCCAGTTACGGGCCAAGCCCAGTTCACACAGGTGACACGGGTTACTGCGTGTATGAAAAGGCGGTAAAATGCCCCCTCACGCTTAGGCCACCCACAGAGCTGAGGGCCCGGGGCAATAGACGGCGGCTTTGTTTTATATAAAATGTCGCTAAATTTGGTTTTTGTAGTCCTGGGACCGTTTCCTGGTTGCCAGGATTGTAAAGCGTTTTCGCCGGAGTTTCGGATGGGAATGCTTCTCATTTAAGTGTTTTAAAGTCGTTTGTTCATTATACATTTTAAGTTTATTTTTTTTACTAGGCAGGGGTTGTCTTAAAGGACTACTATTAAGTCTGTTCTGGGCCCACCTAGCTACCATTTAAAGTACAAATAAGTAGGTTTTCCTGACCTTGGGGCCAAATATCGGGGAAGTTTTAGGGGAGCCCTTTTCGGGATTTGAAAAAGGGCCCATTCCAAAAAAAAAAAAATACCAGTACCCCGAATCTGAAAAAAAAGATGCGGGGACAAAAAAATCCAACGGCCCGGGCACTGTCAAAGAGCATTCCGGGCTTTTTA